AAAATAAAATAAAATTTGAGGTTGGAGAAGAGTTCGAAAAATATTTGTTTTAATTTTTGGAGGAAAGCAATTTTCCTTAAATTTGAGAAAAATAAGTTGATTTGGAAAATATTTTTCAAAACATTTAAGTCAACCAAACGTAAGAAAATTGAAAAGTATTTTTCAGAAAATATTTTACTTCATACCAAATGCGTACTCCTTATATGTACAAACGAACCTTGTAACACACTTCATGGCAGGGGCGAATTTATGTATTAAAATTGGGTCACCGGAACCCGTGGTCATCCGACTAAACTCGATATATTACTTGTATAATTATTAAAGAATATATTAAATAAAAACTTGTGGAACCCATTCTCAAAGTCACTGGATGGTTCACTAGTTTGACGGCCTGATTTTACCACTAAGGTCCCGAGTTCGATCCCAAGTTCCAGAAATATTTTATCTTCTCTCTTTAAATTTGCCTTTTATTTTTCACACAAAGAACTCCAAGTCTCCAACTTCAAGTCAAGAATTTAGAAAAATCATCATTGTCAAAGTTTAAGGTAAAAAAAAATTTTAGTTTATGATTTCTCTTTTTAATAAACAAACTAACAAAATCATAAAATTTTTAAATATATCACTTTAATTTTAGAGTTTCCATAAAAAAAATCTTGTCATTACTTATAATAGGAAATCATCAAGAGTTAATGGTTGTTTAGTTTGTAAGATAGAGCAGAAGATATTTGAAAATGTACGTAATGTTGTTATTATAGATCGTTTTCAAAATATGAAGTCTTGTCGAGTACAATTGTAAACTGATGATATTTTTTGTGGTAATGTAATTTTTTAGTTTTGCTCGCTTAGTTATTGTCATTATAAATTTTTTGATCTTATCTTTAGCAATGGTGCACCCGTTTTCTTAAAATTTTGTATTCGCCTCTGCATATGGTAACTAACCCTTTCTATCAACCTTACACACATTCTCATTGGACGCCATTCGGCTTCATACCGGTGCATCTGGTAGAGAAAATAGAGCCATCAGCCGTGTTATCAACAATGGAAGAGCACAACACTAGTTGTAGACGATCAATGATTGCAGGCAGAGGCGAATTTTGGATTTTTTGAACAAGGGTGCACCAAGTAAAATGTATTGAAGTGGAAATTGATCCTTAATCCTCAAGGTCAAAAGCTCAACATTAAATCATGTGGACCATTTAGACTTCTTGTAGTACAGGTGCCAAAATATAATATTATACAAATCTTAGAAAATATATATATATATAATATCTAATTTTACGATGAGACCACGGGTGCCAGTGCCTTATTTTTTGGCTCTAAATTCGCCACTGATGCAGGCAACAATTGTGGCTTAAAAAATGAATGTCAAATTTCAAGCCAGATGAAAATTCTTGGATCATTTCTGTTTAGGTTTTACTGGTACCTTTTTATAGTCACACCTATAACTATGTGAAATAAATCTTCGTGCTAGTTGGGACTTACTTTTATCTCAACCGGATATAGCCACATATTATAGAACTCGTTCTAACATGAATAAAATTAACTATTCTCAAATTAATATATTAATTACTTGCAAACCTCAACTTTGACAATTTAATTATTATTGGAGAATCAACACATTAACATAAATTATTATTTTTAATTACTGTATTCTTTTCAATAATAAGCACTATGCAAATTGATAATATTATAGGCCTGGTGGACTAATTTAACCTTCAATATCATAGAAGTAGCACCTGAATCATATCCCAACACCAACTCTAAGGAAGGTAGATTGTACATTCTTATAAATTTAGATAGCAACTACTTCCTCCATTTTATTTGTCCATATTGATTTGGCATACCTCTTTAATTAGAAGAATAAATAGGATGATAATTTTATTAAATCATCTTTTCAATATAATAGATTTAGTACTTTGAGAAAATCTATAGTTAATAAAAATGTAATTAGAAACGTTTGGATTGGCTTAAAAAAAGTAGTTTTTAAATCAAAAATAAGCAGTCAAACTGAAATGACTTTTAAGTCAAAAAATAAAAAATTAGGGGGAGACCTACTTTTGGTTTTTGACTTATTTTAAGTCATTTTAAATTTATTTTAAGTTATTTTTTACCTTGTCAAACACTTTGCAGTTTATTTTAAGTCATCTTTTACTTATTTTAATTTATTTTTCATATTTGCCAAACACTTCCAGAAGTCAAAAACTGACTTAAAAATATATTTGATCAACTTTTAAGCCAATCCAATTATCTCTTCATTTTCTAAATCTACAAGTACAAATGGAATTAGACATTATTTTATTTAAGATTAAAAAATTCCTTTTGTTGCGGAGGTAATTTTGCTACATTATAACCAAGTTCAATTAATAGTTTAATACAAATTTCATTCTACAATATCAGTATAAACAAACTAAAAGAGACATAAAACGTATTATTCAATCATAGTTGTTGATCAAATATCTTCTCTTCATCAATATTTTGTTTAATAGATTTTTTCGGCGTGAGACTCGTTATGGTCATGGCCATTAATTGATTAATATTGAATTAACGTACCATATAAATAATGATTAATGAATGAGCCAATAATAAATTAGACTAATGGCAAGTATCCACTCTATTCTTTAATGAACTAATAAAGACCTTCATCATCAATGATAGCCATTGGTTACCCTCATTATAACTAAATTATTTGCATGTTGTTTATTTTTAACGTTGACATGAGATTTTTTTTGGTAGATATAGTCCCCGTTGAGTTGTTATTCGTCTTTCTATATTTTGACTGTTTCTCCAAATTTGGAGCGGGTACTTGCTTATAATATTACTAATGGAAATTAAAGGATCAGAAATATCCTTATATTATGTGAAATTGAATAATAATATCTTAGTTAATAGTTTTTTAAAAAGTATTTTTTTTCTTTTATCTTTATCGATTGAAGTAGGATAAGCATTTTTGTAACTGAAAACAATATAATCATTAGGAAAATGAATGTATTTAAAAAGAAAAGAAATAATATATTAATTAAAAAATAATATTTTTGACTCATTAAATAACAATAGAAACATTTTTGGACCAAACTATTAATGTCAATACAATTTTTAGACCAAACTATCAATTGAGTACATTTTTGTTCAAACAATATCATATCATATATAGTTGATAGTAAATACTCCGTAATTAGTACGGTTTATTTGCCAAGTCAATATTGATATTTGATAGTTTTTTAATTATATTAATACCGACCACCCACTCAAATTTGTAATAATTGATTATCAATTTCTATGTCCGAACTTTTCATGCAAGTCAACGTCAAGAAAATTGTCCGCGTAGTGGTGGTGATTTCAATCTTGCTTCCCTTGATCCTACACCTGCTCTTTTCGACTCCAAATATTTCACTAACTTGGTGTCTAAGAAAGGGCTATTGCATTCTGATCAAGCATTGTTTAGCGGAGGAGAGACCGATGAACTTGTTAAAACCTATAGTACGAATCTAAGGACTTTTTCAAAAGATTTTGCTGAGTCTATGATTAAGATGGGTAATATCAAGCCATTGACCGGAAATGAGGGCTAGATTCGTGTCGATTGCAGGAAGGTGAACTAATTAGCAATACAAATGATGCTGATAAACCGTATTGTGATTTTTATTCGTTTGTAACATTTGTTAAGTTTATTGTTTGGTAATTTATTTTCCCTTTCGTTATTCTTTTGAGTGAATTAATCCCCTTTCGTTTTCAATAAGTAAATTGATCATATATCTTCCGCGTTGTTTGATATATATAAATAGATACAAAATTAGTAGCATAAGTTATGTCTAACGTACAAAGCATTAGAAAAAAAATAAAAACTTAAAACATTAATTATGATTGTGTTTAGTTTCATTAAACTTCTTCTCTTGTATATTTTTTTTAATTAATTCTAGCCACCAAGGAACAAGTCCTGCTTTGTTGGGGGTTCGACATCGTCCCCTATTTAGCTTGTTTATTAATTAATCAAAAAAGAGTAATACAAGATGGGGGCCAGGACATTTAGGAACTAATTGAAGTTCTCCAAAATGGTGTCAACCAGTAATAGAATGTACTCCCTCCGTCCACTATTGTTTGTCAGGTATACTAAAAATAGTTGTCCGAAATTAATTGTCAATTTAAACAATCAAGAATTAATTAATCACTTTTTTCCAATTTTGCCCTTAATAATTACATAACTACTTTCAAAAAGTACTGACCATTTTAAAGTTACTATACTACTTTAATGTGAAAAAGTTATTTTTACATTTTTCAAAAAGTACAAACCATTTTAAAGTTACAAGAAAACTTTTAAGAAATGCCCTTAGTTAGCTTAAGTTACATTTTAAGTTTACATATTCTAAATTTGATAGTTGAAAAAATTCATTCACGAAGAAAGCGGTAAAAAATTTCATTGTAGTGTAGAAAATTTTAGTTCAATTGAAAAGTTGTCTGTTGGTATACTTTATACATACTGGGTAGACTTTTGGTATTCTTTAGTTCACTTTTGATTGCTTTAGTCTTTATGCATTTAATACTCCTAACAAACAATAGTATTAAATGTGAAATTGCACGGTAAAAATACATTTAAGACTAGGTATTCTATAGTTCAATAGGCTATTAATGAAGATTAATTTTCATAGTAGGGTTATATTAGTCAAATTGTACTTTATATTAAATTTTTCTTAATGATTGTGCCAAACCTTATCCTGACAAACAATAGTGGACAGAGGGAGTAGTTAGACAATTGATGTCACAACATATCACAGAAAATTTCAGTAAAAAAGGCAAACTTATGTGGGATGGAAAATGTGTATGTTGTATGTATTATATTTATATGATTAATAACTAGAAGAGGCATCCACTAGATGAAAAAAAAAACACGAATTATAACTCATAATGAACTAAAGTTGTCAACTAATAATGTTTTGTTCAGCATCAAAGACAAATATCGAAGTTGTTTCATTTAATTTAAATTAAGACAGACGCTTTTTAAATAACAAGGCCAATTAGCTTAGTTGGTTAGAGCATTGTGCTAATAACGCAAAGGTTGCATGTTCGAGGCCTGCATGGGCCATTAATTATTATTTTTTTGATATATCAACTCTAAATCGCAAAGTTGAAGTATATATTAATCCTTTTTCGCCTATATATTATACACATATTGTATCTTGAAAATAGTATTGGCTAATTTTTTAAAAAATAAACAAACTTAGTAGTTATGTAAATGCTGACTTAGTAGTTATGTAAATGCTGCATATATAAATAGGTTAAAGCGCAGATGAAAAATAATATTAGAAGTGGCTAAAAAGCTTTAAAATAAACAAACTTAGTTATGTAAATGCTGCATATATAAATAGGTGAAAGCGCAGATGAAAAATAATATTAGAAGTGGCTAAAAAGCTTTAAAATAAACAAACTTAGTAGTTATGTACATGCTGCGTGTATAAACAGGTTAAAGCGTAGATGAAGTGAGCAGACATGAAAATCCTACTAATTCCTTGACAAACAAGAAATTCCTACTAATTAGATTAACGAAGTTTTAGTGTTTACGAGGGCACTCCTTAGTGCAATCGTAAGGATCGATCTCCTCTTTTTGGATCTGGTTAAATGTAACCACTAATAAACACTTGACCTCTTATAATCAACAACAGTGGCGTAGCCATAACCATCCAGGGTGGACACCCTTCGTCGGAAAATTACGTTGTATATATATGTCAAATTCTACATTTAAAAGATATATATTTAAAGTTGGACACCCTAGACAAAAGTTATGTCTTTGGTGCAGTGGTAATGGGTGTCCATTTGATGAAGCAATTTCGGCTTCAAACCCCAAATATTACAATATTGTTTTTGTTTTATTTTGATAGCCACACACTATTATTCTTGCACACCCTTAATAAAATTTCTGATTCCGCCACTGATCAACAAGATATGATATATGAGGAACCTGATTATCCTTTTGACTCCCTCAATTCTTGAAAAACTCGATAACCTCAAAGCAATTTGTAAATACTAAATTAATATTGAATTAACCGATACATTATTAATTTGATTAGCAAACTAATATATTTTAAAAATTAATAACTAATAAATTAAATCGATAAACACATCTATCCGATCGAACCATCCATAAGCATCATATATATATATATAAATAATACGCCCTTTGTCTCTAATTACTTGTCCACTTTTGAATTGACACACTTATTAAGAAAACAATTATTGTCATAGTGAGTTTACCATTTTATCCCTATTAATTATGAAGTGGATGAATTAAAAAATTTAAGATTTTCAAGAAATTGTACATTTTTTAAAGTGATTAATTGAGGGTATAATAGATAAAATTATTTTGTCCTTTCTTGATTTGTCAAAATGGACAAGTAATTAAAAACAATTATAAAAGGAAAAATGGACAAATAATTAGGAACATGTATCTAATTTAAGACAAACCTATGGCTGTCGGTGGGAATCTTTCAACGTCACGTTTCAATAAAAGTATTAATAAACATAGCAATTTTTCTCTGACTTTTTGGGAGATTATGTTTCCTAAAACTTATAAGCATGATCACAATATTAAATTTTGTGAACCACTTTATTCAAAAATTCATTGTTAGAGAATGAATCCGTTTTATTAATTTAATTCTGAACACACCTTCTCATTTACGGCATCTGATTTTTATCATTGGAACAAATATATATTGGATTATTAAATAAATATTTGTCGATAATTGACGGTGAGATCTTTTACTTGTTCAATACCATGAATTGTATTGTTACACCTAATTCAAAATTTTAAATTATTAAAGTCAGGACCTTCTTAAAAATAATTAAGTATTCTTTTAAGTATGCAACATAAACAGAATTAAATGACATGGAGAACGAGCCTTTAAAAAGGAGTGTTTATTACTCCCTCCGTGCCTAATTACTTGTCCATTTTTTCTTTTATAGTTGTCCATTTTGACAAATCAAGAAAGGATAAAAAAAATTTACCTATTATACCCTCAATTAAATGACTAATTATTTTGAAAAATGTAAAACTTTTCATCCACTTAATAGTTAATAGGGATAAAATGGTAAACTCACTATGTCATTAATCATTTTCTTAATAGGTGTGTCAATTCAAAAGTGAACAAATAATTAGGAACAGAGAAAATATATTTTAGAATCAGCTATTAAAACGTCTTTAAAATAAAATCTTATATATTAAATCATACGAATTTGGACTCAAAATGAATATATAATACGTTAACAATCGAATCAAAACCATTATAAAAAGACAATTTCCCCGTGAAAATAATTGTCACGTCATATAGTCGATTTTTTGGCTTTTCAAAATCCCGAAAGATACTCTTTCTCATTTCTATCGCTTTTCATTAATCTATTTTGTCACTTCCAAATCAAATTCACTTCATATGTCGTTAACAGTGATTAAATTTGTCTCTAATTGTTTGTTTAGCTTTCTTCATGCCTAGTAAAAATAATCTTAAATATAAAATATAATTTATTAAGTTATCTTTGTTTAGTAAAGGTAAACTGATTTTTTACTCTTAAATATAATAATATTGTGCATACTTCCTTATTGTTAAGGGTATAGTTATAAATATTCCATGTTTTTACTAGCGGACGGGTGAGTAACGCGTAAGGACCTACCCTTGGGAGAGGAAGTGGGGAACAGCAGCTGGAAACGATTGCTAATACCCTGTAGGCTGAGGAACAAAAGGAGGAATCCGCGCGAGGAGGGGCTCGCGTCCGATTAGCTAGTTGGTGAGGCAATAGCTTACAAAGGCGATGATCAGTAGCTGGTCCGAGAGGATGATCAGCCACACTGAGACTGAGACAATCAACTTTATCTTGAATTTCTAATATGATAATTATTTTAGGATAAATTTTATAAATTAAAATGACATTTTACATTGATTGTATCTTTCACATCCTCTGCATACCTCATCTTCACTCTCACCCCCATATCCTCACCACCCCCACACGCTTACACATCTGTCACAAAAAAAATAAGTAAGAAACTCACTTATTTTCTTGAAAATTATTTTTTGTTGTATCATCAGACACACTCTGGGTAGAAAACACATCAAAAAATTGAAACTTGACCTGATAAAAAAAAGCAATCTCTTTGTTTCAATTTACGATACATACTTTTCTTTTTAATCAGTTCCAAAAAGAATGATATATTTCTATATTTAATACTCCATGTGTCCCAATTTATGTAACACATTTCGTTTTTCGAGAGTCAAACAATTTAAGTTTGACCAAGAATTTGCGTATGAAAACTTCATTTTTTTTTTGAATTATTTTTTATATATTTATAAACTATGTAAAAAAATTACAAGTCACAATAATTAACAATTCAAAATATTTAAAAGATATATGAAAGATTTACGGTCAAAGATAGACTTGTTTAAATCTCAAAATTTAAATTGTGTCACATAAATTTGGACGGAGGGAGTCACAATTTTACTTTATAATGCTCATTTTATACTTAATGAAATGATGCATAGTCATATAAATATTTATGACCTGTTTTAAACTACAAAGGCCGCTGATGTGGCACACTTCATAGATCAGGAACAACATTTATTTATTTTTGTGATTTTTTGGCTTTTTCTCTCTCATCTCTATTTATTTTATTTAAATTAAATCTTTAACAACCTTTAAAGTCATTAAAAAAAATTAAATAACTATTGAATTAAAAAAATAAGTAACTGCCAATTAACTCACCCTTCACCTTCCAATGATGAAAGTCCAAAGGACATCCTTCCTTTTCTTACTTATATATCAATGGATGAAAATATATCATTCTACATAATCTCATTTTTACTTTTTTATATGTAGTATTAAAAATATTTTTTTTTCTTTTGGTTGCTGATTTATTTATTTTTTTGTTAACGCAGCACACACATTGTTGGTGGGAAAAAAATCTATATATTGCCATATAAAGTTTAAGGTAAGTGAAAAATAAAGATCTCAATATAATTGTGGATTTTTATTCTTAACTAGGTTATCTTTTCGTTTCTAGATGGTTACACCTTTGTTCTCTGTACTTGTACTGTGTAATTTGTTTATACTCCTAATTTCATATTTCTTAAATTTAGATTTTGCTCTTTTATTTTTACTTATAAAGCAGGAACATAAGGCCGCTGATGTGGCACACTTCATAGATCAGAAATAACATTTATTTATTTTTTTGTGATTTTTTGGCTTTTTCTCTCTCATCTCTCTATTTATTTTATTTAAATTAAATTTTAACAACCTTTAAAGTCATTAAAAAAATTAAGTAACTATTGAATTAAAAAAATAAGTAACTGTCAATTAACTCACCCCTTCACCTTCCAATGATGAAAGTCCAAAGGACATCCTTCTTTTTCTTACTTATGTTTCAACGGATGAAAATATATCATTCTACATAATCTCATTTTTACTTTTTTATATGTAGTATCAAAAATAATTTTTTTTTCTTTTGGTTGTTGATTTGTTCTTTTCTTTGTTAATGCAGGATACACATTGTTGGTGGAAATTTTTTTATATATTGCTATATAAAGTTTAAGGTAAGTGAAAAATAAAGATCTCAATATAATTGTGGATTTTTATTCTTAACTGGGTTATCTTTTCGTTTCTAGATGGTTACACCTTTTTTTTCTGTACTTGTATTGTGCAATTTGTTTATACTCCTAATTTCATATTTCTTAAATTCAGATTTTGCTTTGTTATTTTACTTTAGTAGGTTGTTCTAAGGGAGAGGTCTGTAGCTAACAATGAGTGTGTACTTATTTATTCTCTTTTTTTTTTACGCTTTTCTTTGAATAATTTCAAAGATCTTTGTTCATGTTTGTCTCATAATACTCTCTTGTTTTTGTAATTTATGATATTACCTTATCTCATATATTTTAATTTTATTGAAACAATTTCTATTTACTAATTATTATCAATATGGAAAAATATGTTTAAACTAATTTGACTCTTGAGAACAACTTGGGAATCTCCTTTACTGTATATATAGAGAGAAAACAAAAAAATTGTGATAACATACAATGGCATTATGATGGCACACGAAAAATAAAT